CCATGGAAACCAAAAATGCATATAAGCTGGTAACAAAGCCAGGTCCACACCCCACTTCCCTGACTTGTAAGTCAGTATGAGAGGTGACAGGTCTACATTAAAACTTTGTTCTCTTTGGTCTCTTGTGGAATACAGCCTGAATTTTTGCTGTAACACTAAAGTGTACTCATTTTGTGTTTTTCGTATATCACACATGAATATCTGATCTATGTGTCTATAGTCTTATCATTAAAAATCACACCTTTTTTAAAAAATTCAAGTGTGCTGAAGGTTTTTCTTCTCAACATTTATGATCCACCCATGGTTGGTGTTCATGGGTGGTAGCAATTTTTCTCATGAGCATTGCCTCTCACCTGAATCTGTGGTCATGTCTCAGTCTCTCTACAAATATTTAGAGAGACACACTCAAAAGTGTGCTTTACTGGGTTTCATGGAGTGTCTGTGCACATGCTTATGCTAAGATAAAAAAATCACCAAAGCAAATGCTACTTCAAAGATTTGTAATTTTATTCATATATGTTTGTAGTATATAGTATAAAGTTTCATCTTTGGAAGGCATTTGATTTGTAGAGTAGATCTGAGTTCTTTGTTCTTGCATTTCTCATTTCTTTAAGTTTTACATTTACTCCTTGCTCATCTCCACTTTTATTTTTTTGGCTTTTCTCCAGTACCAGGAATTGAACTCACGACCTTGGGCTTGCCAGGCAGGCGCTGCGCCACTGAGCTAAATCCCCAGCCCTGCTCATCTCCATTTCTGAAAGATGTATTTTCCTGTTGCCTATTACATGTCATGTACTTTTATATAAGCAAAAGTCAAACACCACAACTCTAACATTGTCAGTCGTCTATAAATAGCAGCACTATGAGTATGCAAGTGTATCAGGATTTCCCATAGCTTCCTAGGATTCTAAGGAAAATGCACAGAAGATCTTTAGCAGAAATGGAAGAGTGAGAGTAATGGGAATGATAGCACCCTGTGACGGCAGAAACGTGGAGCCACCAGTGTGCAGTGCAAGCATGTGATGATCACAAGTGTAAGAATTAAGTGCATAGGAACTGAAGCATGGGATTTACCTAGCAAACACTTCATAGAGGGACTCAGGGATTGTAGTGCACAAGCTTGGCCTCCGTCTGCCCGGTCTTTGGGGTGTGGCACCCGCTAAACAATCACAGTCTTCCTTCATGCTCATGTACAATCAGTGGCATTGCAGAAGGGTCTCATGATATTCAATTAAAAACTAAGAAATGAAAGATGAGAAAGTTTAAATCATGTTTTAGTCTCAGTAGCATAAAATCTAATGCAACTTTGATCCACCATTTATCTCAGTTTATTTCAATAGAAAGCTGTCGTGTGATGTCACAACATGACACGAAGGTTAACTACAATGGAGGCTGAGATATGAACAGAAGGAACACATTCACATGGTGATGATTACACCATGGTTATTATAACAATTTCATTTTAAGTACCATTGCCAATATTCCCATATAGTTTATGAAATCATTGCATAATTATACATGTTTATGAAATGCTATATGTATTTGTGTGTATATTTTATGTGTGCAATATATCATTCTCCAATATTGACGATATTGATGGGCTTTCTGCCTTCATAAAAATTCTGCTAAATTACCATGATG